AGGAAAAGAAAATGAGAAGAAAAACATTTTTTCTTGTTTGGTTAGAGAGGAAAAGGAAAGAAATTAAAAGTGAAAGAAAAAGAAAATGAAAAAGTAAAATGTGGTTGCTGATGACTTAATTGAAAACATGTAGTAAATGACTTTAGAGGGAAAGGAAAAGAAAATGAGAAGAAAAACATTTTTTCTTGTTTGGTTAGAGAGAAAAAGGAAAGAAATTAAAAGTGAAAGAAAAAGAAAATGAAAAAGTAAAATGTGTTTCAGTTATTTAGGCTGGTCAACCATTGTGCACTTTGGCTTCGACTATTCACAGCAATGCGTGCCCTGGTGTTTGGCGTGCGACCCCAGACTTTTTTATGGACATCGTGTTTATGGGTTTTTATTTTGGCTTGAGTGCCTTGGCTTTTGTTACTGCTTGTGAGCAATGACATTTCTGGCTTCTCATTCTGGCTTGCGTGCCTAGGTTTTTGTATATGGCCTGGTTGCTACTTCAACCTCAATAAATTTTTTGTTGATTTGTATTGTTGTCACTTGAGTTTAAATAATATTTACACGTCACCCAAAAATAAAATCTCTCCGGATGTGGCCAAACCGAGCATATTTCAATTCTCAAGGATACATTATGGACTACTAGAGATTGAATCAGAAAGATTGTAATGGTTCTATGTTCTTCATTTTCCTATCAATAATCTAGCTCAAGACAAATAGCTATACAACTAAAATGGCTCGTAATTGTTTGAGTTCCAAAAAGAATTTTAAAAAAAAACCAGGATTGCAGACTCTTGCCTTCCTCGGTCTTCTCTATATATACAACAACACTTCTGAACACTTGCATGGGTTCCAACTACTGCTGTGATTTTCTGAACAAGAACTACGCCATTTCCATGTTCCCCTGTTTTATCTTCTTCGTCAACCACATTATCAATATCCATCATTGCCATCAAGTTTATCAGCAATGCTGGCTTCTTCTGGCTTTGTACTCATCACTCCTCCCCTATCATCTACAGTTTCTTGGTTGTAGTCGTTGACCAGGCCTAAATCTTCTGATATGCCGCAATCTGTTGGCATTATTGTTTTTGGGAGAGCATCTCCATCCTCCATTGTTGTGTGCTTCGCTTCATCAAAATCAGGTGTTTCATTTGCATCCTTCAGAGTAGACTCAGAGAGCTTTGTCTCTTTTGCGGCATTACCAGTGATGACTGAAACAATATCACGATTTGTCTCAATATCAACCCACCGATCTCCAACCCAGTCCTTTGAAATTCTTATGTTCTTAGTGTCTACACTCAGGAATAGATCTTCACCTAATAATAAAAGATCAAAGGCAATGCAAGTCAGAGTGAAAAATCACACAAAAGAGCAAAAGGAAAGTATTCAGGCCCCGTTTGGTACACGGAATTCAAACAATGGAATTGGAATTGAGGACTTCAATTCTAATTCTAGTGTTTGGTAGCACAAAAATTATGTGGATTTGGAATTGATAGTGCTAGAAATGAATTGGAATTGGCGAAATTCAATTCTATGGAATTGAATCCCATGGAATTTCAATTCCAATTCAATTCCAATTCCATCAATTCCGTATACCAAACGGACCCTCAGGGAATTTGCGTGGATATAGAATTTAATTTAATTAAAAAAAAAGAATAAATTCCACAAAAGGTCCCCAGTTATAGGTCGTTTTACATATTTAGTCCCTACATATCAAATATTACTAATTTAGTCCCCAATTATTATATCATTTTTCACGAATGGTTCTTTGTTAACATTTTCATTAAGAACTTGGATAAAATTGTAAATTCACACTTCATTCACTACTCAATTAAGCTTTCTCCCTCCCCTCGCATTCCTTTCCCGAACTCGCCGCTGAGCTTGAAGCTTTGAACCCAAAATTGAAATCATCACTCTTCTCTCAATTGTTTGTCTAAGTGGTGGAACCCAAATTCGAAACCAATAAGCTTCATGGATGAGTTTTAATGTTTATTTCCTTTGCAATTTTTTGAGACTAACCGATAAAACTCATCCATAAAGTTTATTGGCTTTGATTTTAGGTTTTACGAGGAAGACTAATAATTGAGAGAGAAATGATCATTTCAGTTTTGGGTTTAGAGCTTCAAACTCAAGAACGAGTTTAGAAAAAAGTACGAGAGGAGGGAGGAAGCTTAATTGAGGAGAAAGAAATGTATGAATATATAATTTTATCTACGTTCTTAACAAAAATATTAACAAAGGACCATTGATGAAAATTGATATAAGAATTAGGGACTAAATTAGTAATATTTGATATGTAGGGACTATATATGTAAAATGACATATAACTGGGGACTTTTTATAGAATTTAGTCAAAAAAAACTTACTGGGAATATAAACTTGATAGCCTTCAACCACATAGTTACTGGTGTCAGTAACAACACCTTCCCACCATCCATCACTCCACCAAGCATCAACTGAAACACCAGACTCAAAGATATGGTCGCCTTCTTTTTCACAAGGTCGAGCCGGTCTAACTGTTGGGCGGAATCGATTTCGAATTCCAAGTCTATCCGGCCTGGCAACTCTAGATAACGGGACCCACTCCTATCACATTAAAAAAATATTTTTCAAAAAAAAAAATAGGTCAGTTCGTTATAAATCAATGTAATGTTACCCATGTCTGCCTACTTATAAATTCCAAAACATACATACCTCAAGGCTACCGCGACCATCTTCATCCTTTAAGTCGTCATATCGGATTTTTAATTGTCTTCTGGATATCTCCAGGACCGTGCATCGGAACCAGCAGCCTCGCATTCCGCTATCTTGGCATAAAAATTCAATCTTTTCATCAACCTTAAAGTTCAGCATATGCCAAAGGTGGCATTCAACTTGCTTGTGGGAGTTCAATCCTCTACCGCCGAAGAAACTACTTTTCAACGTTGGGTATGATTTTTCCAATGCCTCCATCTCATGCTCTTCATAAATTATGTGCCTTTTAGATCCAACTTTAATTTCATCTCTCAAAGTAAACTCTTCATCTTCAAAAAAATCAGGGCTGAAACATGAGAAAATTGGTTGATTAAAATATCCGCGCAATTTATCCAGCTCAAAAGGCTTCACTCTCTTGTTCTTAAACTGCCTAAAGCAAAAGTGTACTCTTGATAGCAAGTCGCTTGGAAAAACTGCTGCACATTTATGATAATGTGCTCTAGTCAGTACAATCGCAGGGCCATCAACACACTCTGCACTGATGATTTGAGCGCAAGGTGTCATAAATACTTCTCTGGGATTCAGATTCCGCAAGGTGACAATGCCTCTGACTTCCTGATTAAAGTGGAACCATCTGACTTTAACCTTTTTCTGGCCTTTCCTATCCTCATACATATCCTCCAGATACGCGAGGTAGTGATTCTCCTTTTCAGCCATCACAAAGACAAATGAATGTGTCTGCATTCATTCAGGTATCAGGATTCAGGATAAATAGATAGTTCCAATAAGCAAACTTTGATTGAAAGGAATAGGTAAAACATCATAATGGGTGGTGCTGACACCAAGGTAGGGAAAGTGACACTTTTTAAGATATTGGGTTACAATAAGATAAATGCTTAGAGAACATGTTAAGATTGCATTTCTATAACCTCAAAATTTATGCTAAATATCAATAAATATTTTGAGTAGAGGATGGAATATTGTATGGATGTACACTAACTGTGATTGCAATCCCATTCCTGCGAAATCCTGGGTAATGCTTTAGCTGTTTACCACATGTCCATGGTTCACCTGACCAAACTATATCCGGAGATGGTCCATTCAAAATCCTGGCTAGACGTCCCTGATACACAGAGCATATGAGCATGAAAAACAAGTGATGGCAAGAAAAGAAAGGTACCATAGTTTAAAAGGGAAGGTTTTACCTTATCATCTGTCACCTCGCTTCGCTCAAAATTGACTCTGGATGCCGGATCATTTTTTAGCAATTCTGTTTGTTAAATGATGAGAACATTAAAATATATAAAAGTATTTTTAAATACTGAGAGTCTGTGACACAAAATGAAGAAAACGCACCAAGGATATACCATTTTTAAGGTGATAACACTACTAACGGCAAGCAAAAAGAAGATTAAAGTTTCTAACAATGGACAATTCATGCATCACAATTGTTAAATAGCATCAAACTGGATTGTGAGTGTATAAACCAAGCCATAAAGCCATATGCACATGAATGTTCTAACTGGAATGTATATGTTTGAGTTTGACTTTGAAGATTACCAATGAATAAGACCATTAATGCATAAGGGCATGTGCACGTCAGGTATCACGGAGAATAGTTCAGCAATGAGGGGTCACAGGTAGTGGAAAACTAGGGTAAAATAATGAAATAGATAAACCAAGATAATGTTCTTACACTCCCAGTAGATCATCTGTTTGGTTTTCCTCTCCCCCATTAACCACTAAAAAAATTAAAATGAAAAAGGTTGGCATGTTACTTTAACTAGACAATTGATTAAATATAAACATGGAGCTAAAAGAGTCATTATTGGCAATGTTCTAGCTTCGCGTAATTAGTTGACCACATGAACTTCAATGAAGTTCCAGACAGTAAATGAAACAATGAATCAAGGATCTAATCAAAACGGCCTCTCTATTTTATAGGGGTGAATTTGAGTACATCTGTTATGAATCTCTAAGTTCTGTTGCTTTATGTTACTTCTATTTCAGTCCATCTGTTAAGTTAAATTGTTTGGTGGTACTGTGTCAATGCTAGAAAGGTAAAATTAAAAAAAAGGACCTAGTGAAGATCTAACTGCCACCCGATTTATTTGCACTATGGGGATATGATATCTGCAAATATTCCTCGGAAAAGACTTGTAAACCGACCATATAATAACCAAGATTTTTAAAGATTGAAACTAATCTAGGATTTAAAAAAAAGGTTCAGATAAACGTGAACTACAATTTATGCATAGCAACAAAGTATATTTAGCCCTTCATGGTTAGTTTGCAATACTCCTATCATTGTCCATTTTATTTGATTCCCAAAAAGAGAAAATGGAAATAATATCCAGAGGTAAGAAAGACAAAATAGGGTAACACTAAGCATACTTGAGCAATAATAACTCTGCCTATTCTGCTTGGATAGCATAGATGTGAGCCAGTTGACAACCTCTCTCCTGGATCTCCATCTGAAGCCAGCTTGAATTGAAGCCTCAGCACCATGTACTTTCAAGAACTCTTCTGAAACAACATAGAACATGTGCCGGACACTTCTCTCAGTGCCGACAATAGCAAGCACAGAATCCCCAGAACTGTCCTTCAAGAAATAATGAACCACACGATTGCCCCTCTCTTTTGAAACAAACTTTTCTTTCCATTCCACAAAGCAATAATCACGTTCGGCCATAATTGAGCAAATGGAGGNTCAGCACCATGTACTTTCAAGAACTCTTCTGAAACAACATAGAACATGTGCCGGACACTTCTCTCAGTGCCGACAATAGCAAGCACAGAATCCCCAGAACTGTCCTTCAAGAAATAATGAACCACACGATTGCCCCTCTCTTTTGAAACAAACTTTTCTTTCCATTCCACAAAGCAATAATCACGTTCGGCCATAATTGAGCAAATGGAGGATGATGAACCCTAAATAGCCATGACAAACCACAGGCAAACCCTAAACCTGAGAGACCACAGTCCTTTCACCCAAAGCTCAGTCCAAAAAGAGTTCAAAACTGCCTGGGTTCCCTACTCCTATAAGTTACATAGTTTCATGAATCACAGCTATAATAAAAAAAGGCAAAACGGAAATAATATACGGTCATTGGATGGGTAAGATTTCCTGACGCTAAATGCCATCAAAAATCAGGGCGCAAATCATATGAGCTGGAGAAAATAAGTCCCGTTCCTCAAAAACCCCAAGTTCAGTCCTTACAACCGAATAGTTTCCAAGATCTGCGACATTCCAGTGACAAAATTCAGAGAATAGAGGTTAGAGTTGAAAAATCTCTCGAAAGCTCCTAGAGTTCGCTCCGGCCTAGCCGTCAAGGAATCAGCAACAGAATGCAGCGTTCACCTGTCTGCAACAAAGATAAGTTGACTCAGAGAGGGGAAGGAAGTGTAGGATTTTGAGGGGGAATTCCAAGTCAAGGAGACCCGAAGATGATGGTTTACTGTGAAAATTTTGATTTCAGTTCAGACTGCAAAAGGTTTGGGAGATAAGAATGAAGAAAGAGTATTTCTACGTATCGGAGAAGCAGGTGATCATGTATGTAGAAAGGGTTAGTTGCAGGGCTATGAACTAACGTGAAGCCCTGAGTTTGGGCGTGCGATGGTTGATGGCTTGTTGGAGAGAAGGTAAAGCACTCCTAAACTAGATCACAGATTCACAGCAAAAGCGACCTCGAGTGGAGTTGGTATACCATAAGCCCACCAATAACAAAGCAAAAAAAGTTCATTTGACTTTTGACATACTCCCTCCAGCCCCAATTTAATTATAAATTAGAATTTACAAGAAGATATTAGTGTTAACCTCATGCTTCGTGTGTGCTTGTATACATTCTAAATTTTTGATATTCTATATATATAATTTTATTTATTTTAGTTTTCTAATAGTGACGTAATATGTGTTAGATGAATATTTTTTTAACTCTAAGATATACTCCCTCTCTCCTAATTCTTTCTTCCCAGTTTGACTTTTCTCCATTTTTAATTTTTGGCTTTGACTTCAAATTTTACCCTCCTTAAAAAAGATTTTTTGAATTTTTTTTTTACAATCATTCAAAATATAGAGTTAGAAGATAATTGGTGTAAATACATGAGGATGTTAATGTCATTTGTTATCTTTTTTTCTAATGGGAAGGTAGTTTTAGGACGGAGAAAAAGGTGAAGTGGGAATAAAGTTTTAGGACAGAGGGAGTATCTTTTTCGAATAATGTAATTTAAGTATAGATGTACATGCATTAAAGACTCTATAAGTATTTTCTTTAAAAGTATTAAAAGAGAAATGATTTATTGTTTTTAAGAACCATATAAACTTAATTTTTCAACACATCGATAAAGTTAAAAAATATTTTATCGATATATTTTAATTATGTAAACAAAATATGTTTTATACTTGTGGAATATGTATTGGTATGTTTATTTAAAAACAAAAATTTTATACAAAACTAATGGCCATTATTTTATAGATATAAAATTTTATACAAAACTAATGGCCATTAAACTAAAGGCCAAAATTTTATACAAAACTAATGGCCATTATTTTAATTATGTAAACAAAATATGTTTTAAACTAATGGATTAATTAAATAATCATGTATATAGGATATAATAAAACATTATTATATTATATGTACATGTGGATGCACATGTGGCATGCCACATATCAACACTCTAAGAAGTTAACTTAACTTTACATATATATGCTAGTATTTTTACCCGTGCCATGCACGGGGTCGAAAGAAATTTATGTCGATTCTTAATTTATTTTAATGAAATTTATTTTTCAGAATAAAGTAAATATATTGCTCACATGATTTTTAATACTACAAATGAAAAAAGCCAAATTAAAATAAATAATATTTAAGGAACAGAATGTAGAGTTAACAATGTTTATTTTAATACCATATTTTCTTAAAGATTTCAGGATATACAACATTTTTTGTATGATTGCAATGATTTCTATTGTCATCTAGAACTAATATTTTTAATCCGGTCTTGGTCTTTACTCGTGAAACAACAAAATATAGTTGACCATGTGTGAACACTGACTTGGTTAAAAATAATCCCACAAATGACAATGTTTGACATTGACTTTTGTTGATTGTTATAGCAAAACATAAGGTGATCGAGAATTATCTTCTTTGGAACTTCAAATGTAGCCCTAGATTAGATGGTACCAAGTTCATTCTAGGGATGTAAACTTTTTACCCGACTCGATTTTCCGAAACCACAATTGCACCGATAATATTATTTCGTAGCTCTTGAACGATTAATCTTGTCCCATTATATAATCCAGATGTTTGGTCAATGTTTATCAATAGCATAATCGCTACCCTTTTTTTCAAGACTATTTTGTGGTTTGAGATTCCCAAACATTTGATTTCGTTCAAAAACTCAACTGTTATCCAATCGCCATCAACACCTACATCTCCTTCTGCTTGACACGAAGAATCAGAACTCAAGTACTCCTTTTCATCACCAGGAATGAGGGACAGAACAAATTCATTTATCATTTCAACTACTTCGAGAGTTGGTGCCAATAGTGCTTTATCCTCATAAAAGAATAATTTTTCATATTTTCAAACATAAGTCATTTCCCAAAATAAGACTTAAACTTTTTCAAAATTTTCATTTTTCATTTTTCAAATTTTCCATTTTTCATTTTTCATTTTTCAAACTTTTTCCCAATATAATTTTTCAAATTTTTTATTTTTCATATCAGCACTAAATAACACTAAAACAAAAGTCATTTCCCAAAATAAGACTTAAACTTTTTATCCCTTAAATAACACTTAATAATGTCTAGAAGAAGAAATAATATCCTGTGACGGTGAACATTTGTCTAAATAATGACTAATGGATAATGACTAAAAGTACTACATTGAGAAATAAAAAACATATGTTGCTATTTAGAGAAAGTCATTATGTTTTAGTATTATTTAGTTAATGTATATATATATATATATATATATATATATATATATATATATATATATATATATATATATATAGAGTATCAATTATTTCAGTTGAACACAGCTTAGTTGTCATTTTGATAAATAAATTACGTGTTAGATATAAGTAAATTTTCTAATTTAAAAATAATATTTGAACTTTGAATTATTTACATTGATCATTCCGTATCAATGTCTAATTTTTTTTCCTCACATGCATATCATTTTGTTTTAAAATATATACTCACATTTTTATATTCACCCATTTCATATCAAATTTATTGCAAAGTTTTGAATTATTTAAAAGATTTTAAATACGAATATATTTTTACTCAACTTTGTTAATATTCGTATATTCAATTGTCTAAAATATTCAATGTGTATAAACTATTTTTTTCATAAAAAATATAGAAAAATGAAATTAAAGAGTCATGGATAAACATCATTTTATTCCTATTGATGTAAATATAAAATTGATAAAAAATAATCAGTGAACTATATGCCTACCTAGATAAATAAACAATTATACATTTTAATTATCCATGATTTCTATGCAACCTATGAACAACGTTTAATTTTTTTAAGGATGCAGATTATAATTGATTTTCCTTGGCCCATTTGAAATTGAAAAATAGGATGCTCCTACCACCAATCCTTTTAAAAACAAAAGGCTGAAGTTGAACTAACGATTCTCTACTTATTTATTGCATAATTAATTCTGAATGCCTATGTATTGAAATGGAAAATGAAAATGGGTGATGGATGTCACATTTCAATTCATTATATATCTCTTTTTATAATAGGATTTTGACCCAAGTATATAAGAGTTTCCATAAATTTGGATATAAAAGTGAGTAATTTAACTCATTGCGAGTTAGATATATAAGTAAGGAATTTAAAATAATATTGGGTCCATTCTAGATATAACGAATTTCTTACTAAAAATAAGCGAATCCAAAATAATATTACTGATTATTCAAGATACATAATTAACGATCGCCATATATAAGTAAAGGGATCCAAAATAATATTAGTATTATCCAACAAACATAATATAAATAAGGTGATAAATAATATACTCATGATCATAATTTTCAAATTTAGTACTATTTATTAGGATTGTTTCTTAATAATATTTTTCGTAAATTTTGTCAATCACCATATGTTAAGGAAGTAATCTATTCTTGAAACCATATCATACCATTCATGGCTTTGCATGAATCATTTTCTAATGCACGGCCGTATTAGGATAGTTTCACATTTAATTATTTACTTACCTTTTGTATTTTAGGAATGACTTTATTATGGTGAGAATTCCTTGGTAAATGATTAATATATGTAGCATGGTCCTAAAATTCTATTTAAATTAATTAAAAATATTCTTTTTTTATTTTTTAAATAGTATTTATATTTCTTCATATTTATTTTTAATTTTTTATATTATCATCGTAATTGCAGTTTGTATTATTGTAATCTGAATACAGATATTTACATATAATATTATTGATTATCCAAGATACATAATTAAGGATTGCCATATATAAGTAAAGATATCGAAAATAATATTAGTATTATCCAAGATACATAATATAAGTAAGGTGATGAATAATATACTCGTGATCATAATTTACAAATTTAGTATTATTTAGGATTGTTTCTTAATAAGATTTTTCGTAAATTTTGTTAATGACCATATATAAGTAAGGTGATCAATAATATATACTCATGGAATTAAGACAAATAAGTAAGGAATCAAAAATAGTATTGGAATTTCTATTAGTATAGGTACTCTATTGATTTCAACCTATATATACACGAATTTCCATTAATAAATCNTTGTAATCTGAATACAGATATTTACATATAATATTATTGATTATCCAAGATACATAATTAAGGATTGCCATATATAAGTAAAGATATCGAAAATAATATTAGTATTATCCAAGATACATAATATAAGTAAGGTGATGAATAATATACTCGTGATCATAATTTACAAATTTAGTATTATTTAGGATTGTTTCTTAATAAGATTTTTCGTAAATTTTGTTAATGACCATATATAAGTAAGGTGATCAATAATATATACTCATGGAATTAAGAAAAATAAGTAAGGAATCAAAAATAATATTATATTTTCTATTAGTATAGGTACTCTATTGATTTCAACCTATATATACACGAATTTCCATTAATAAATCTTTGTTACTTATTAATTTAAGTATGAAATTTATAAATATGAAAGTAAGATAAAGGATTAATATATGTAGCATGATTCTAAAATTCTATTTAAGTTAAATGAAAATTATTATTTTTATTTTTTATTTCTTAAATAGTATTTATATTTTTTTGTTTTTATTTTTAATTGTTTATATTATCCTCGCAATAGGAGTTCGTATTATTGTAATCTGAAAACATATATTAACATATAATATTATTAATTATCCAAGACACATAATTAAGGATTTCCATATATAAGTAAACGGATCCAAAATAATATTAGTATTATCCAACATAAATAATATAAGTAAAGTGATGAGTAATATACTCGTGATCATCATTTTC